TGAGGAAACATTACCATTCCAAGTATTTTAGAAGACGCTTCTATACTGGCATATCCAAAACGGAACTGTGAGCTTCTGTTGGATGTGGATGCCAGTGACAGTGGAATCAGGGCTATGCTATCACAGTTGCAGGATGGAGTAATACATCAGACAGCACACCGAAGTCATATTCTCATGGTTCCTAAATGTCTATGCTATATGATGAAGATAGAACTACTTGCAGTTGTAGTCATCATAAAACACTACATACATTACTTGTATGCGAGAAATCTTACTCCTTTGAATTGACTATAGATCACTGAAGTGCTTCATGAACTTTAAAAACTTGGAAGAGACAACAACATGTTGGATCACAGCATTACATGAGGGTGACATTTTCATGTGGCATTGTCCATTTATGCAACAGAAAAAATGCAGAAAGGCTCTATCCTCACACCATGAAGCTCTGTCAGTTCGTTAAATATCCAGATTTTGGACACTGTGTTGAAATGAAAGTCATTTTTGTATAATAATGCCAAGCCATATTATAGGAGATTCTGCTAGTGACTGCATGCCAAGACTAACGCTTCAAGAACTCTGAAAAAATAAACTGAAGGACCAAGAAGTAGAGGGGGCACCCTTTCCTGTGCAGCAAGGTGAATTGCAACAAGTGTGGGTTGAAGAACATAGCGCAACTGCACATGTACAAACAGTTACAGTTCTGCAAAATATGCTTTACTACTTTTACCAACCACCTAGATGTGGTTCTCACAAGGGTCACATGCACTAACACTTATTTGCAACAGTGGTTCTATTGACTAAGTATGAGTCTAAACATTAGGTGCTGGTGTCAGCACTGCAAGGTGTTTGCAGGCTAAAACAAAAAACAATCTAGACAGAATAAATTCCAGTAGAAATTTGTTGATTCTACTCAACAGATAACAGCCCTTGATATCGCTGTTCTTCACCCAGAAATAGAATGAGGTACTCAGTATGTGCAACCTGTTATTGATTACCTCACTAAGAGAGCCGAGACTCAATTGCTCAGTGGTTTAGCTAAGTCCATTGCTGATGTATTGGTAAAGCACTGGATAATCTTATTTGGCACACTCAAATATAATAATGTAGATTAGGGAACTAATTTTAATAACCAACTTATTTACGAATTGTATGAAGTGCTGCTTGTAAAAAAAGAGGCATACATCATCTTATCACCCCCCAGTTTGATGGTTTAACCTGGCAAGGGATACAGACTATAAAATGGATGCTAGCAAAGTTTGTTAACCCTAGTTGAATTGATGGGAATGAAAATTTGCTGTATGTCATGATGGTTTAAAGTGCAATGGAACAGAGATATCCTAGTAGTTCAAAATATACATATATAAATATAAGTATGCGTGTGTGGTTTTGCACACGTGTATGAAATTTTATGGAAGGTCATTAATGAGTGTTGTATAACACAAATTAATCAATTATTTTGAATACAACTGGTAGGCAACATTTGAATAAGAATAAAGGTTTTGATCTAGACGTTAAGAGCTTCATTTACGAAGTTAACTTTGATTACTGGCCTCTGAAGTATTATCTGATAATACAGTGAGTCTGTTGTTTTTATTCATCTCGATGTGATAATACTTCAGTTTTGACATGGAAATATTCGCTAGATAGGAAATTTTACGAAGGAAATGAAAGTAATAGCTAGACACATGCCACACCTGCAGGAAAATACAATTTGATTTGTTTGTGTGCAAGAATTATCCATAAACATTTCAATTGGATTGAATTGAAATGTTAGTGAGTAAGGGAAATAGTCATTGGAAAGTAAACTTTACAAAGAGTAGCTAGTATCATATCAAGTGAATCTTGGTTTTCTAAGCATAATATGTGATTATGACTGAATATTTCCTATCATGCAGTTTGAAATATTCTGAAAGAAATCAAAAAGGAAAACGAGATGCTGATGTTAATTAGTTTCCATGGTCAGAAGATCTAGAATAGTACCTGCATGATGGACAGTCTGTTTTGTTTACACGTTTGAGCACCTGGCTCTGCAGTCTTACGTCATTTCTTTCCTGCTGGACACAAGGCTATAGACATGTTGCTTGTCCAGGACAATAATTTCCTCACTCTGCTCCTAAAGAAACTTAGAGCAGAGAATTGTTGCAAGAATTTCATTACAACTTTAACACATTATTTTGACTGAGTTTTTTTGGTCAGCCATAATTTGTTTGACCCTACATTTTCAATCCTGTCTTCTGTTATTTATGATGAAATTCTTAATATTTCTGGCTATTTTTGTTTTCAGCTAGCCAGCTGCGAGGCGAACTTCTTTAATTTGCGTCAAAACCTGATTACCTGCACGGCCATGGAAAATGATTGTAGCGGGAGTTTTCTTTTTCGTAACTTTGAACGCGTTATTTTCCTATTTAACCAATGACCACACGGCCTGGCCTCGCCTTCACCTCAATGGAACAGATGGGTGAGTACACGTTGATGATGTATTGGGCATATGAACATTGAACGAAGAATGCCTATAGGCTAGCCATAAAATCTCCAGAACAACTAAAGCTTGCCATTGTTCATCCTCACCACCAAGCTTGCCATCAGCCTAGTCAGTGTTGTAGTAACCCTAAATGCAAAATCCAATATCAAGGTGAAGTCAGACTACTGGGAGAAAGTTTTAAAGTGTTTCTTTAAAAGATGCTTTGTGGAGAAACAACCATGTAATTTAGTGTTCCTTAACCTCCGGCGGGACCACCACATTCCAAGATCTAGCAGGACTTTCCTAGAACTAAATTTTTGAACATCACCAAGAAATGTGAAGTTCAACTAACAACCACCACTCTATGGTGTTAGGTATTAAAAATTTGAATAGTCCGAAGCCGAGTTAACTGATAATTTAAATTTAGTAGTCAAATTGTGTTTTGGATTTAGTATTTAAATATATGCCGATATTTTAGTCAATTTACGATATTTGCCAACAAGATTGATACAACCGTTTTCGTTTTTAACACAAATACGTTTTAATATACACACAACCATACAATTTACAATAACAATTATTACAAATAGTTACTACAAACAGTGATTTGTAAACAAAAGTTTTACAAACAATACAAAGTCTTCTTTCTAGTTTGGAACTTCCTTGATATCTTATGGAGGGTTCATGATGAGCGAGTTGATTACAGTTGACGTAGGTATAATTCACTTAAGGGGAAGCTAGCTAGCTTTGTCCTTCGTTATTTACCAGCCACACACACTGGGTTTACCACCATGACGTTATGTAATGTTTTCGTAAAAATATTAATGTCCGATGTGAATCCACTGAAGTTAAATGGTTTGTAATGTTCGAAAGTTTTAAATATTCCTGATCAAATATCTGAAACTTTCCGATTGATAAGCGTTATAACAATCCCAGTTATGGCTTTCAAAGTTTATAGCACACTGACTATAGCAAACTAATAATAGACACTCTCACTCGGTGCGTTGCACTGATTCTATTTATAGGCGTGGGAACGTTTTCTAGAGAATTCAACCTTATGTAACAATACTGGTTAAAGCGTTTACGTATATAGATATTTTGTTGATTCTTACTCTCGAGAATCTTCTACAACTTTGGAGAATAGGTGGGATACCTATCTAACAGTATAAGCTATGTATGTTTCTAAATATAAACAATGTTCATATTAAAATAAATACATAACAACAAATTCGTTACAATTGGTAATAGTGGCCACCACCATACCAGCAGTAGAAATGGCAGCAACAGAACCCCCCACCAACATTAGGGCATCACCCTTCAGAGCCATACCTGAAAATATCCAGGAACTGCAGTTGGAGAACTTGGAGATATCCACCTGGTCCCGACTGAAATTAAAAAGCGACTCACACTCCACAAGATCACAACTCTAAAGTGCCTCTCCCAAGAGCAGGCAGCGAAGTGACAGACATGGACACTTTACAACCATGATAAAAATCATCTGGTGAAATACTAACAGCCATCTATGCAGTTGGAGAAAAAGGTGTGCCATCTCTTGGAGGATCTGACAGTAAATCAAAAGGCTCTCGCGAGAGTTCAAGATATTAACTGCCAGACCACTACAAGTCAACAGCTGCATTAAAGGATCTACTGTCATGGCTCCTATAGCTAAGTAACTCAAACACTTTTTTACAACTTGTGTAAATATGTTAATGTACAAATAACTTTTGTTTCTTTTAACACTTTTTTTCTAATTAGTTTTGCATATGTATGTTTATGCATTGCAATGGGTAAATTTTTTATGTTTATGTAGTGTATATATATATATGTAGCTATTTTATCGGACGTCGTTTGTGTATATGTGCATATTTTACTAAGCTTTAGTTGCCTTTATTGTATGTTTTGTTTTATTCAAAGTTTTTGTGTGTAAAGGTTATTTTAATGTAGTTTTAAAATATCTTAATGTGACTTTTAAAGGGTTTGTTTGTATTTTATGTTTTGATTTTGCGAAGGTGTTTTTTACTTATTTTCTTTTACTACACATTTGTTAAGTTTTTATGTTTCACGTATTGTAATGTTGATTTTATGTTACCATAAGATTTAACGTTGAAGGGCTTGGTTCTGAACTGCATTGATGCTTAATTAGTTGTGTGTTTGTAATGTTATTTTTGCCTTAGTACTGATTTGTATTGGTAGAAAAGTACTTTACAGGGTTGAGGGCAAGTTACGCCAATATCTTGACCAATACAACAAGTTAATTTTAATTGGTTTTTAAGTTCTAAAACCATGAGTAGTCAGATTGGCCTGACTTTAAAGGGTGGGGGAGGTGAAGTGTGGTATATACAACTGGCATTGTTTTCCTCCCCCTTAGTTACTAGATACATTTTTCAATACTTTTGATGGTTTTACATTAGAACAGTTCCACTGGCTTTAGCTAATCACTGGAGTCACCAATGATATCGCAGTATATAATAATATACACAGGAAGTAGTGTCTCACAAAATAAATTCATAAGCCAATAATAGTTCTTGATTTCATTTCATAATCATCAAACATAATCCAATAACTTTAATATTCAGTATTCTTCATTACAAAAATCTGAAGTACAACTGAAGCATTAACAAAATTACAGGAAGTGGTGTTTAGGTTATTCCCAAAACTACCACAAACATTCCACTATACTTTAGGTATTCAATTTCGATAAATATATTATGTACGAGAAGTAAATCTATCTTTGACTCACAACTGCTTAATAATAAAAATTTGAGTGCTAAAGTACAAACTAAACAATTTTATCAGAATATATATATATATATATTTGAAATTTATACCTTTTTCTGTTTTTTGGCATTTGCTTCTACATTTATCTTTCTGGCATATGACAAATAGCCTAGTACAAAGATAATTATAGTGATATTCTAGAAATATATTGCACATAACATTCATTATTTTTGTGTCCTTAAGTATACAACACAAGTTTCTAATCACATTCATGCTCCAGAAATATTTGGTTCATCAAAGTAATACTGATACTATCTTAGATGTGCACTGAACATGGCATTAATTACGGCGATGTCCTTAAATCACATGGAATTAATTATGGTACTAGCCTGCAAACACATGATAGTATGATGACCTCTTTCAACAGGCTGGAAGACACATGCCACTAGTTATGGCAATGTTGTGGAATTATAATTCATATAACAGTAATAATGATGATGTTCTGAAGTTAGATGGATCCAAACTCAGCCATCCATTCTACATACTTTTCTAAGTCATGTTTACTGACTGACTTGTTGATTTTTCTCATGGCTTCTTCAAAATCTTCTGGGCTCACTGGGAGCTCTAACTCTTCCTTGGGCAAGTTGCGGATTTCTTCTGGAGTGAGACCAGAAATCTTCCTCCTCATAGCCATCATTGAAGCATCGCTGTCAAATAAAGATGATGGCTCAGAAAAAGAGTGAATTATTATACCCAAATAAATATCAACCAATCTCCAATCTATTGAAAATAATAACTATTAAATTATTGGATAATTTCACATGCTATAAATTTTATTTTAAGCACCATATTTCTCTGCTTTAAAATAGGCACTCTTTAAAGATTAATACAGATTATTTTCATATTTGCAAAAAAATCAACCACAAATTGTGTACAGAGAGCTAATAACTCACTTGCATTTTATTTTATTCAAATAATGGTTTAATTTTTACCAATATTTCTCAAACTGTGGGTTGTGACACAAAAGAATTGAGAAAGGATCTTACAAGTATTAACATTTGATATTTTTCCAATTATTACAAACAGAATCCAATTAATCCAGGAAATAATAATTAAAATGTTATTATGCTGATCCATCAACTTTTACACAATGGAGCAGCAGTAGCATCCAAAGAGGCATATTCATTCCATTGACAGTCAAGTTTCATTTATTTTTAAAAACACTTTCAAAATTTTAGTATCTAGCAATATAAACATGAAATAATAAAGGTAGAAAAGAGCATTCAAGAAACAAATTGGGTGGGGGGGGGGGGACCATAAGCAAAAGTTAGGGAAACCTTAATCAATACAAAACTTTGGAAAATACATACTTTATCCACAGAGCAAAGAAAAAGGAACAACTCACTTTTCCTGGAATCTTACCATTTAATAAATGTATATTACAGCTCTTACCGACAAACATTTGTGATATCAGCACCAGAATATCCATCCAGTTTTCTTGCAACTTCAGTTATATCCAGGTCTTCCATCACTTCCACTTCCTTTAAGTTGATTCTCAAGAGAGCTTCACGACCTTCCACTAAGGAACATATTACAGGTATGATTGGTAGAGATTCTAACAAAATTTCTTTACCCTAAAAAATTACTCTGATGTGAATTATACCAAATGTATTGAAATACATGAAAAATCATACATTTAAATTGTCTAGTAGTTCCTTACATCCTTATAATGCTTATTTCCAAACAAAATATAATTAATATAAACCAACCATCAATTTATATCAGTTTTTCAATAACTATTAATGCAAAAAATAATGTATATATACTTAATCTATAGAGTTGTGATGCATAATAAAAAACTAATGTATTACATATATGAACACCACCAAACAATAAGAAACAACATCCCAGAATTATGTCCTCATCTGATCATAACATGTTTTCTGATGTAAGACAAGATTGAAGACCACATCTAGTTATCACCTGCAACTGTTCTCTGACGACATAAGACAAGACTTAATAATCCTTCATTTAGTTATTACCTGCCACTGTTCTCTGACATAAGACAAGACTTAATCCTTCATTTAGTTATTACCTGCCACTGTTCTCTGACATAATACAAGATTTAATCCCTCACGAGTTATCACATGCCACTGTTCTCTAACATAATACAAGATTTAATCCCTCACGAGTTATCACATGCCACTGTTCTCTGACATAATACAAGATTTAATCCCTCATGAGTTATCACATGCCACTGTTCTCTGACATAATACAAGATTTAATCCCTCACGAGTTATCACATGCCACTGTTCTCTGACACAGACAAGATTTAATCCATCTAGTTATTACATGCCATTGTTTTCTGACACAGACAGGATTTAATCCATCTAGTTATTACATGCCACTGTTTTCTGACACAGACAAGATTTAATCCACCTAGTTATTATATGCCACTGTCCTTTAATGTGACAGGATTTAATCTATGTAGTTATTACATGCTACTGTCCTTTAATGTGACAGGATTTAATCCATCTAGTTATTACATGCTACTGTTCTTTAATGTGACACAAGATTTTAATGTTCATCTGGTTATGGTATGACACTGTTCTCTGACATAGACAAGATTTAATCTATGTAGTTATTACATGCTACTGTCCTTTAATGTGACAGGATTTAATCTATGTAGTTATTACATGCTACTGTCCTTTAATGTGACAGGATTTAATCCATCTAGTTATTACATGCTACTGTCCTTTAATGTGACACAAGATTTTAGTGATCATCTGGTTATGGTATGCCACTGTTCTCTGACATGAGCCAACCTTGCAGTTCAATTGATTACAATGTACCTCCGTTCTCTGATGTCAGTTAAAAGTTTAGTCAAACTTGTGAAGACATGCAGTTGTTTTATGATCACAGTCAACATTAGTCATCACCTGGTTGCGACAAGCAACCGTTCTGTGATTTAAAAAAACTTTGGTTTTCAGCACATCATAACATGAAGCTGTTGTCTGTTATTAGCTAACACAACCCAGGTGATTAGAAAAGATAATCGTAGGTGCTAGCGAAAGTAGTAGTCTTCAACTAATCATAATATGACACTCTTACCCGATGTAAGAGGAAACTGTAAACCTAATTTGATGAATATATGGCACCATTTCACATTTATAGGGTGTAAAGGATGTTTTAAAGTTGCTATGAAATTAGTTCTTTGCAAAGAGGAGATTCAACTACTTAAGAATATGATAAATAGATATGTATATTTTAGTTATGAATATTTATTTGCTCATAATATTCATGTTACCTTTAGTGTTTATGTTCTGTAACTTGACATTGTACAAGTATAATGTTAGAAACAGTATTCATACATTGGTTAAACTTGTGTTGAGCGACATCTGAGGGCTACAATTTTGAATCATCTTAGAGAAAGGTAATATGTCTTACCCATATGAAAAATACATTTAGAATCATGCCATCCCCCAATGTAAGTCTTCAGATTTACAATGCTAAAATCATGGGTTCGATTCCCCTCGGTGGACACAGCAGATAGCCCAATGTGGCTTTGCTATAAAAAAACACTCAAAGAATCATGCCAGAGATATATTTCATATTACGACCAACCAAAATATACAGTATTTATTCACATTAGAGACTACTGGTATGTCATTTTTAGATGGTGATTATGGTAATGGATTTCACAAGAGTTTGTAATGTATTATGGTTGGTTGATACATATTGCTTTAGTTTATGTCAGAATATAATATTAATTACACCCTGTGTTGATGTATCAAACCTGTAACTTGTAAGCACTTAGATCATCAGATATCATCCAGACTTTAGGTACTTGATGAATTAACAAAAGAAGTGTAGGAAAGTAAAGCATATCATAAAAGTTTTATACAGATATTCCATACTTACTAGTAGGTAGAGGAATATAAATTCTTTTCTCGAGTCGTCTTCTTAAGGCTTCATCAATATCCCACGGAAAATTGGTTGCTGCTAACACCATCACAACCTTGCTGGGATCTTCACTATTTGTAATTCCTATATTTTAAATTATGAGATCAATAATTAGAAAATGTTATTTTGGAAGTAAGATAATAGAAATGAGTTATCACAAAATGATCATAAAATAAAATAAAAATGAAACCCAAGAGCTTTCGTAGTAATCTCTTCATCAGGTCCATAAAAAAAGGTACTGATGAAGAAGGGATCACTTTTTTTTAAATAAGTTAGATTTTTAGGAAACTTCCTGAATATTAATTGTTAACTGTTTATAACCTCACAATCTTGCTGGGATCCTCACACTACAATATCATTCAATACAAATTTCTAAAAGCAACAACACTTTGCTAAATGTTTGACCCCTGAAATCAAGTGAGAAGATCAACCCCGGTGTTCATGGTGTTCTCAAGTTACCTATTAATAAGGATGTTCTCAAGTTACCCAGTAATAAGGATGTTCTCAAATTACCCAGTAATAAGGGTGTTCTCAAGTTACCCAGTATTCAGGGTGTACTCATATTACCTAGTAATAAGGATGTTCTCAAGTTACCCAGTGTTCAGGGTGTTCTCAAATTACCTAGTAATAAGGGTGTTCTCAAGTTACCCAGTATTCAGGGTGTACTCAAATTACCTAGTAATAAGAATGTTCTCAAGTTACCCAGTATTCAGGGTGTTCTCAAATTAACTAGTAATAAGGATGTTCTCAAGTTACCCAGTGTTCAGGGTGTTCTCAAATTACCTAGTAATAAGGGTGTACTCAAATTACCTAGTAATAAGAATGTTCTCAAGTTACCCAGTATGCAGGGTGTTCTCAAGTTATCTAGTATTTAGGATGTTTCAGAGTTTACCTGATGATAAAGATGTTCTCAAGTTACCTAGTGATGAGGGTGTTTCCAGATTTAAATGTTTATTATCCACTTGTAATGTGGCTAACTTATAATAACATAGACTGTTATTTCTGTTGTGCACAGATAGTGAATAGGCTGTTAGTTATTACACATAATAGTTACTTGTACTTTGTTCTCAAGTTACCCGGTATTCATGGTGTTCTCAAGTTACCCGGTATTCATGGTGTTCTCAAGTTACCCAGGTATTCATGGTGTTCTCAAGTTACCGGTATTCATGGTGTTCTCAAGTTACCCAGTATTCATGGTGTTCTCAAGTTACCCAGTATTCATGGGTGTTCTCAAGTTACCCAGGTATTCATGGTGTTCTCAAGTTACCCGGTGTTCCCAAGTTACCCAGTATTCAGAGTGTTCCCAAGTTACATAGTAATAAGGGTGTTCGCAAGTTACCCGGTGTTCATGGTGTTCCCAAGTTACATAGTAATAAGGGTGTTCTCAAGTTACCCAGTGTTCATGGTGTTCTCAAGTTACCCAGTGTTCATGGTGTTCTCAAGTTACCCAGTATTCAGGGTGTTCCCAAGTTACCCAGTATTCAGAGTGTTCCCAAGTTACCCAGTATTCAGAGTGTTCCCAAGTTACCATGAATACTAGGTAACTTGGGAACACCCTAAATACTGGGTAACTTGAGAACACCCTTATTACTAGGTTACTTTAGAATGTTCTGAACACAAGGCAGAATTCATAGGCAGTCTCAATTACATGGCATAATATCACATATAGTGATAAAAAAAGGATATGTTAATAGTAGTATTCATAATTCTCAACAACTTGAATGACAAAAAATAAGCTTGGGTAGGTTGCTAAGAATTATAAGCACTGAACCAACTTCAAATATATGGATAAATGGATGTATGAATAGTGAAATAGATGGATGAATATCAATAGATGTAACAGCAAAGAAAAGTTTTCAGTTTCATCAAAAATAAGATTTCCTAACATCTACAGTCCTTACTATGAGATTATGGTACAACTTCTTTTCACTCAAGTAATTTTTAAACTCGAAGAATGACTATATTTACTCTTGAGATGTAAAAAACTATGTGATAACATGAAATGAAACCTTAGAGAACATGTCATTATAGAAATAGAACACTCGAGAAGAGACATAATTTAGCAAATATGAGAATTATAACCATTTTTATCCAGTGTGATGCACTCTTTGCTGTTAACTTTATGAAACAGCCAAGTATTGTACACTTCCCCATTAGCATATCTTCATATTGCCAAGTTTTATAAGACACTTGCTGTGACTTTTCATAAAATAAAAATAATTTTCATTTCATATTTTATATGAGATTTCTAGTATTCTGAGTTTGAACAGTTATTTATTAGGTTGGTTCAAAACACTTGAAACAAACAATAGTGAGTTTAAATAAAAATAAAAAAAGTAATAAAATTCAAATGTGATTAAAAATGAAAGCCTAGTAACAAAAATCTGACCAGCTGATAAAAAAAATGTAAGAATATATCATTCTTCAATAAATGAAAATAACATTACAAATCTAAATTTTATACGATGCTTACATTCATACTGATCTCTCAAATGATGGTGAAAAAACACGCTATAATGTTTCCTGTCAGAATTTCATTCAGTATTTGTTTATTTGTTAAATGGGGTCATTGAGTATGTAACACTATATTCGTACAATGTGTTAAAATTTCAAAATTACAAAATATTAGAATAATCTATTTTTGAAAGTACAGTCTTTTTTTATAATTAGAAAACAATATACACTATTAATTCTATGAATTTATGGATAATGTTTATATATGCTATATCTTTGGCTTGCAAATTAGAGCTTCATGAAATTTGCCAAAACAATCACAGCTGTACACTTCTATACACACAAGTTTAAAACACTTCAGCTATTGAATAGTTGTAAAAAATTTATTGAGAAGTACGAATGAGAAAAGTGAGCAATGAATAACAATACAAAACACAAAAAAACTGAAGCCCAAAAGTAGTTGAATGTTGTGTTTTTTTTCACTGATTTACAACTGTAAAAAGATGTAAGAAACACTTTACCATCCATTTGAACCAGTAGTTCAGATTTCACACGTCGACTTGCCTCGTGTTCAGAATCTGTACCTCTACGCGAGCACAAGGAGTCAATTTCATCAACAAAGATTGTGCTGGGAGCATAAAAACGGGCCTACGTGGGATACGCAATATAATGACTCAATTAACTCTTTAAACACAGACCTATTTCTTCTGTACGTCATGATGTTTATACAGTTTCACATAGTTAGATTCAAAATTTAATTAAACAACTTTATTATCAATAACATGAGCAATAGTGTCATTTATAATTCAAACTTTTATATCATCTAACCTTAAATTTCTTAATTTCAAAGAAAATACTTTAAAGATTCTCAGTCTTTATCGTGTGTCATGTGATGCATGTGCATTATGAATTCTCCTACAACCTATGCAATAAAACTATGAAATTAAAATAAAGTACTTGTGAAAAAGTAAACAGTTGAATTTCTGAAGGTAATGAAATTAAAGATATGGTGACAAATAATTCATTCAAAGAAGAAAAAGATATGGTTCATTTTATATCAAAATTTCATATCACTGGACATTGATGATTTAGCTACATTTAGTGTTAAGGTACAGAAAATAACAAATTAAACATAACCTTTAACCTTAAAAAACATTTGATCATTTAGGAATTTCTAAGAGGTTAAGCAAATGAAATGATTTTTCATGTATAACAGATATAAAATGTTTGCTAAAACTGTACCAATTTTCACGAAGATACACTTAGTAAATTTAGAATTATAGTACGTAAAGCATCATGATTTTCAAGCTAATGTAAAATGACTGACCTGTGCTTGAAGTGTTAATATCAGTAAACAGGATCAACCATATAGCACTAAAATAATGTCAGTAAGTAGGATGGACAATATAATCATTTAAATAATGTCAGTAATGAGACTTATATTAGCTCAAAAGAATAACAATTTAACCCCTTGAGACCAAGAGAAATTAATTCTAGAATTTCACAGGCTGTTTATGTTTAGTGTGTTTAATATATAATTAAGATCTATATGGTTTAATTTCACTATAAAGTGCACCTGCACTTTTGATCTAAAGTTTGGGCTCTTTCATGTCAAGAGAGTTTCTAATGACCCAAAGAGTAATCATGATTAAAATCAACAATATTCATCACTTCAAACTTTTGAACTAGAAAAGTTAACCATAACTTTTTAATATTTTACTGGACTTACTATTAATGCATGAAATATTCATAAAGTAAAACACCCGCAATATTTTTCTTGAGCTTTACATAACCAGCTTCAAATTAACTCACTAATATATGAAAGTTGCTAGAATAAGACATGTATATGAACTTTCAGATTTTATGTGAAAACAAAAAAATAATTCCACAGTGGCAACATCCAGATAACCAAAAAAATATCCTCAGTTTATGTTGAAAAATATTTAAAATAATGTTGTCATTTCAGGATGAATCAGTTAGATAAATCTGAAAAAGTATTCTATCATGTTTTAACCAGAGATTCTGGTTATAGGCTCTTTAATAATTATTACAGAACAAGACTGAAAGCAGTTGGATCATAACATTAGATCCAGATTTTAGGTGTCTGAAGCATTATATATGTTCCAGGTCTTAGGTACTTGGATCATTATACAGTATAAAGATTAATGGTAATTTGATCAATAGACATGGTCGTAATAAAAGGTAAAAGCTTTATGGGTATGTGGATCATTATTAATAATCCATATCTCAGGTAATAAGACATGATAAAAATCTTACATAACTTAATCAATTACAGAGGATGCAGGATTGTTACTTGGTCATCATGTAAAAAACTTAGTTCATCATACAGGATAATATAACACTCAGAAAAAAAGGGATCTCATGGTTAATCTAGGCAGTCTCATCTGTTAAACTATTAAAAAGAAACCAACATGTAGGGTCCAGATTATATGTAATTGGTTCTTCTCATTAGATCAAATTTTTAAGGACTCTCATTACACTGAGTCCAATAAATGAAAACTACATATGTTATATACAATCCAAGGTATTGTTATATCACAGAAATCAGACTAACACATCAGCTGTACAGCTATTTCCAAAATTGAATAAAAAATATAATCTATTTTAGACACTTTTGGAAAAGTCCATGTAATATATAGTTTTCAATAAAAGAATAATAATAATAACAAAATAAATTTAAATGTATAAATGGCAACAACAACGTTTTTTTCCTAGAAGCTCTAAGATATTTGAACCATGAGATGTTCAGCTACCTTTTTCATAATTTTTATGGCATTTCCTATGATCTAGTTTTTTTTTATATACCAAAGAATCTCTTAATTAGATCATTTCATTTGTACTTTTAAACTTGTGTAAAACCAGAACGTGAACTACGACTGTTTTCTCAATAACAAATTTACAGTACATTTTCTACTCCACACTAGGAAATGTGACGTAACTTTAGCTACAGAGAAGTGTTATAAAATGAAATAGCCACAAAAACATCTTTTTTCAGAGAATACCAACTATATAATTCTGCATAACATTTATATGTTGACTAAACCTTATCTATATCCTTGTATGAGTCTAAACCATGTTTTCAATCACTGTTCAACCTACAACAGCTTTGGCAACTTCCTATAGTGTATATAACACTTTGGTACAAGTAACTAATACTTTGCTCTTCATGAAGTATATACACTTGAGCTGTAAATGTACATTTATAACCAGCTTCATTTAGGCTTAACACAACTACAACTGAAAAGCGAGTCAAAAAACAGTTGTTTTATACTTTTATATTGGTTTGATAATCATTAATTTCATACTGTTATTTAGTAAGTCATGACTAATTTCAAGTATGACTATCTCAAAGTACTAAAAATAGTTATACTTTCAGTAATGTACGTTGAACTCAACTTACATATGTGCCATCTTTTGAAACCAACCACAGGAGATTTTTAAATAATATAAAAAAGAGGATCTTTACCAAAAACATTGTGAGACATAACATGATGCATAATTATTTTTACAAAACACATATGCAAATTACATAAAATGAGATTTTTAAGGTACTATACGTAAGCACAAAGGCTCTGCGCCTAGTTTTAGGCAAACATATGTATATGTAAAAGTCTGTTAGTGTTACATTTGTTGTGAAGTGCTGTAAACCTAGGGTAAGTTTACTCATGCATTTATGAAAGGTTAATAAAGAAATATCCACATTGGTTTATATGTTTCTCTTCTATATATGAATTCTTATTTGTCACCTGGTAAAGAACCTCCAAGGACTATTAGTACATATTGATTTTGGTCTACTTTCTTACCATCTCAAACAGAACTCGTACAAGCTTCTCTGACTCTCCTCTGTACTTGGATGTTAGTGTTGAAGAAGAAACGTTGAAGAAAGTGGTCTGACACTCTGTAGCTACAGCCTTAGCTAGCATCGTTTTACCTGTTCCTGGTGGTCCAACCATGAGAACTCCCTAATGGTTAACACTAAATATTACACAAGTGCATAAAAAGTACAAGCTAACACAACCTAAACATTGCACAAACACAGTGAAGCAAGTTATCACACTGCACAACCATAGTAAAACAAGTTAGCACACCCTTAACACTAAGCAACCACAATGAAGCAAGTTAGCACACCCTTAACACTACACAACCACAATGAAGCAAGTTAGCACACCCTTAACGCTACCCAACTACAGTGAAGCAAGTTAGCACACCCTTAAAACTACACAACCACAGTAAAACAAGTTAGTACATCCTTAACACTACACAACCACACTGAAGCAAGTTAACACACCCTTAACACTACACAACCACAGCGAAACAAGTAAGCACACCCTTAACACTATACAAACACAGTGAAACAAGTAAGCACAACCTTAACACTATACAAACACAGTGAAACAAGTTAGCACACACTTAGCACTACACAACCACAGTGAAGCAAGTGAGCACAATCTTAACACTACATAAGAACAGTGTATATTTTACAAAATATATTGTCTACTTAAATATCATACCCAAATTAAAAATAATTTTATTCTTAAAACAAGCTGGTGATTGAAGTTGAAACATTACAGCAACTGGATGAAAAATTTAAAGGAAGTTGGTAAAGAAACAAACACTGCTAAAACAGCTCATCAGTTTTGTCATAAAAACCTTAAGAAATTTAACAACAAATATTTGTACTTAAAAATGATAAAGTTATTTACTACTATCACATAAAAAGTACTGCCTATGGATGAAAAGTTCAAAACATTGATTAAGCAAATGGAAAACCATAATGACCTCATAATATCTACGACTAAGGTACTCAATGTTTCACAAACATAAACAGCCATATATTCACACAGTACCTTCCAGGGTCTACGAATTCCTTTGAAAAAATCTGGCATCCACATGGGTAAGACTACTGCTTCTTCCAATAGTCTTTTTGCTTCTTCTAAATCAGCAATATCATCCCAGTGAACATTAGGATTTTTCTGAAGAATATCCCGTTCCAACATTTCAACCAAATCCTTGTCGTATCCAGATGTATCAAACTTCTTTTCATCTTGTTCCTTTAAAAAATATTAGTGTGCATGAGGTACAAAAACAAATTTCAGCCTGTAAAATATACAGATCAATCTTTTCAAAGAGTTGTTTTCAACATAATCTGAAGACTAAAAGGTACCATAGTAATAGTACTTGAGAACACACATAAGGCTATAGGCACAGCTGAAAAGTCCTGCTAGATTATATCTTTAAAACTACATGAAGCAAAAAAAAAAAACACAACTGAGATTTTCATTATTCAAGATCCAACTAGTCATAGGTTTAAATCCCACCCAGTTTCAGTATTCACTTCTTCTGATTAATTTATAACTTCACAGGAAATTGTGCCACTTCTCAAGTTTCTATAGTTAAATACATCAGTGGAAATAGTCACAAGATGACAGCAAATTATTTCATTTTATTTGGAATAATATAAAAGTTGCTTCTGAAAAAACATTTTATAATTACATTTCCACAATTTCTGATGATTAAATAAAACTTTAGTATTTCAATAAATCAAACTTTAAAAAAAAAACATTGCTCAAATTATATAACTAGTGTCAGTCAACTTGTAAATAAAAAAGATTGTGTATAAGGTAAAAGTACTTACACAGTAATTTAACATGCATATGAAACTTGAATTACCACTTAAAGACAGATTTACAACAGCTTTGGCACTAAGCACAAACTTGTATAATTTATTGCTCCAAAAGATAGACATATCAAGTTGAAGAATTGTTTTTAGGCCTAAATGTGTGTGTGTGTGTGTGTGTGTGTTTAAAAATTAATAGGTACATAGTTTGGGAAAAGCATCATAATATTCTTTGTCATTTTTCCTTTAGTACCAAGACAATTTTTGGAGAAAAAAAAAACCCTATATCTTTAAGCCTCAGAATAGGCTTAAAATACGTTTTTTAGATAAAAAAAACATGTTCAGTTTGTACAAGGCCTTAAAATATATATCATTTGGCTGAAGTTAAACGAATATCACATCTTTTTACCCATTTTCTAAAAGAACAAAGTCATTTATAAATGTTTTGACCTTAAAATAGGCTTAAATAGCCCTTTTTAAATGCCTCAACACCCAACAAATTTCTATACAAGTTGTAAGAGAAAGGATTGTTGCAGATTACACTATTAAATTGCCTAATGGTTTTCATGCTCCATTAAAAAAAGAAAGGAAGTTGTGACAATTAATGAAACTATGAAAAAAATGTCAGAGTTGGTGGTGCTAATTTCTTGACAAATGGAGAACCCATGTCCATTTGTTATCTTTCAGAAGAAAACACCTAGCTGTCTGAACCCTTCAAGAATGAGCTGCTTTCATCCATATTTGGCAAATATGCAAATACATTAAAATGAAATAATACAGTCCTTGCAATAAGTTGGTCCATTACATACTGACCTAAGGAATTACAATGAAACTATCTATTATACTCTGTGGCCTAAGAATGCAACACCGAAGAGCTTCACTCACAGATAGTTTTCACACTCATTCATAAATACACATGATACTTGCATAAAAGTTTTATTGTGATATTGAAGGGCCCTTAAAGTAGCCTGCACAACAAAGATATACACAAGAGGAACTGTACCTCAGGAATACACACTGAACAGTAACACAACACTTTTTGCCACAGAAATTATTACGAAAAAAAGCAAGAGGCTATTGATCTAAATTCTCTAAAACATTGAACACAAGAATCGTTGTTTACAGTTAGGATGAAAATGAGGAAGCCAACAAGAATATTATCAGCTACATTCTAATGCTTTTGCAGTGAAAGAGTCACATTCCATCACTGGCATCAATGCACTGGTGTGAGCTAATACTCATAGGTTCAACTCCTGATAAAGGCAGTTTTTTTTAACTTCCTAATTAATTTACTGGGGAAAGAGTTCTAGATCTACCCTTGCACCAAGATTTGACAATAGGTTACTTTACATGTCAAAGCAGATTACTCTCTTGGATAATTCTGCACAGCAACAATTTTTAAAGTCCTCACTTCAAACTACTAGCATGGCAGTCAGAATGAAGACAAGAGTCACAAGCACTTGACACCTAACTAACCTTCACTGTGATTGTAGCACTTTCATAAATAAGATATATCATTCAAACATAATATAGGATTTTCTAAAATTTTTATTTTACCATCTGTTCTTTAGCTTCATCTTTCTTTCCTTCTTTCTTGGATTTATCTTCTCGTTTTACACTTTTATTGTCTCCTCTCTTCGATACCACAGCTCTGCTGCTGTTTCCAACCTTAGAAACATTAGATGCCTTGGCTGCTTCACTTCTTCTGCCACCACGAGTTGATCGAACTGGTGGGCCAGGTCTAAAACAAAACTTTCTAATGTTTTATCAAAGCAGGTTCTCCTAAAGATTTATTTAACATTATGTACTTCCTCATTTTGAGATAATTCTAAAGAACTAAGCTTCAAAACGTATTAAATTTTTAAATGTAAAACTTAAAGTAAATTGTATAAGTTAAATACAAAAGATGACTTGTAACCTATCTGCTAGATTTACTTCATCGAATAGTTTTTTGCAAGTGATTTTCCCTCAAAGTGAAAACATAAAAAATAGATATTTTCTTATATTCTGTATGCACAAGTATGAGTTAAGAAACAACTGCTCATTAAAGTCACCTAACAGCCATCCAAAGCAAACAATAGCAGAAAAAAAACAAAATTAAACATTTTACCTTTCTCAAACTACATACTTTTATGAATGTTTTTGTCAAATTTTAGACAATTTGATCCAATGTTTTATTACTGGAATAAAATTTAATAGCAGTTACGTAATGTGCTTAAATCTGAAGTATATCGTCTTTATCAATGATGGGAAAACTCTAAGATCAAGAGATATTAACTTCTAAAGATTTTAAATATAACGTATGAGATTAAGACATTGTTATAATACTATATTTCCAACAGGCTATTATCTAATCCATTAAACTTGGGCAGCCGACCTAAATCTTCCCAATTTTCCTTAAACTCCAAAAAAAGAACAGATTAATCATGTCTAGCATTATAAATTTAGTTATTTTAAACAAGGAAATATTTATTTCCAACAGTCTTCTTTACCCTATCAACCAAAGTAATATCCTTTCGAACACTAGAAAATTAAAATTTACCATAATAGCATACTCATTTTTTCTATTTAATATTCCAAATACAAGTATCAAGCATCTATTGATAAAGCACATTAATAGAAGAATAATTATTAAGTATTTATTAGCTTTTATTAAGCAGGCTGGGAATAATGAAATAACTAAGTCATCTTAAACCTTTACTTGTGCTCAACGGGTGTTGGTGAGGGCCATACTTCTGGGTCTTTAGAAGTAGGAGAGGACCATACAATTTGATCACTTGGAACGTCATCATAATTCATTTGTGCAGTAGTAGGTCGATCACAGTGGCTATCTGATTTGAAACCATTTAATATGTCTTGAATGTCTTTAACCTGTTCATATTCTTGGATTATCTGTTGTTGGATCTGCAAAAATAATAATAACAATAATTTCTGTCCTTGATATTGATGAGAGAAAATGAGTTAAACATCTTTACATTATTAATATGACTGTTCAACTGGTTGTGAATCACAATTTCTTCATGTACACCATGTGTCAGTAAAAATCCATATAAAGGCATTCTTTTATAATACAAAAAATACTGGAAATAATTACTTTACATCTTAAAGAAATTTAAAACCATAAAATATACTCTACTATAAAGTTATAGAAATATTGTAGCAAGAGTCAGAACAAATGCTCCATCAACACCTACTAGATAAGAAATACTGCAAATGCCAACAGAATACAACTTCAGACACACATAAGCAATTCATTTTTAATCAATATATTAGAGAAACATCCCATGTCACAGATTAAAGGATGGGAATAATTATTAAACTAACATTTCAAACTATCAATAATATAATAACTAAGACACTTCCCCATGGAGCTCTTACATAAACTGCCATCTTCAACATCTTTTTTTAACTTTTAACAATCCACTTTAGATTTTATTAAATTAACAAAAGTACTTCATACATATTTAAACAAGCACATTTATGGTGATAATTAATAAATACATTTTTCTACTACTATAATTTTTTTTAATTTATAAGTTTTTAGCAAGCTCAACCAAGAAATGTATAATACTAATAGTGGTTGACTAAAGTCATGAAATTTCATTATTTGATTTTCTAGTTTTAACTTTACCATAGTATTACCTCAGATTCAGAGCCCTACCAATACCATATTTAGTAATAGTTGTATCAAATTTATTACATTTAATTATTTACAGCATGGGTTTATACTTATAGTTATACTTCCACAAAAATTCCAGAACTAAGGATAAGAACAATTATTTGCCACTATTTAATTGAGGTACAGATGTAAAAGTCAAAATCAGAGCCCTGGTAAATTGATGATTAGAGTAGTATCACCACAACGTTAATTTAATCATTAATAAGGAAAATACTTCTTACTATAACTGAGCGTCCTCTCCTCCCCCCAGTAAACCTATTACTAATACGAGTATTCCTTACATGGGGCTTTGTAACTTGTATTACACTTTACACTACAGGGCGTTACAATAAGACTGTCTATAGTCAGTGTTAATATAATTTACGAAACTTCTTTTTCTTCAAACTCTTCCAGTTTTCTGGTGTTTGTATTACCTTTTGCCATTTTTCTTTCCTTCCTGGGTCATTAATTGTTTGAAGAAGTCGATGAAGTTGCTCAACAACACCTTCGTAGTAAACAAGTGCTGTTTCGTAGTTACCCAAGAGTGCAAACTCTCGTCCCATCTTGGTATTCTCACAAATATCTGCGGTGCTGAAATTCATTTTTGTCTTTGTTTTATAGAGAGTACATCAAACGAAACAATAAATCTCACAGTCTCGTATATTGATCCTATTGGAAAGGATAACTGGGCAAAACTTGCTGGCCTAAGAAATAAGACTAAGAGCCCAACATAATGATATTAGATAGATTTGAAGACATTATCCAACTGACAATGACAGAGTTGCAGAACTAACGTAGTAAAGTATTTTTCTAATCACAAATTTGAAGAAGGAAGCTGTTACGACACCCGAAGTCACGTGACTCTAGTAACACGTGATGAGTATCTAGAAGATTCACGAAGAGACTAGTGTACTCTAGATGTACCTTTTTATAGTATATAAGCCGGCAAATAAAGTGGCGGCACATAGAATTGCAGAGAGGCAGAGACAGAAACGGACAACTGAGTCAAGCGCGGTAGTGACCGAAGTAAAGTGCGTGAATCGTTGTGAATTATAGTGTGTGTTTAACTGAAAGCGACTGTGGAAATTAAGTGTATTGCAAAGTTGAGTTGAGAAAGAATAAACTAGTTTTATTTAAGAAAAGACTTGTATCGCTGAAGTGTCTCGGAAAGAATTTTACGGAAAATTAACAAACGAACACAGAGAGTAACAAATTGGTGTCAGAAGCGGGATAGAAAAAAAAGAAGAAGATGGAAACCAGAGGTGTCAAATCAAACTACAGCTCAGCAGATTTGATGGCAGCAATACAAGAACAGCAAAAGAAACAAGAAGAACGAGAAAAGAATCAAGAAGAGAGATTACAGCAGTTGTTGGAGGAAAAAGAAAAGAAACAAGAAGAACAAGGAAATAAACAAGAAAAGAAACAAGAAGAGAGATTACAGCAGTTGTTGAAGGAAAAAGAAACAAGAAGAGAGATTACAGCAGTTGTTGAAGGAAAAAGAAACAAGAAGAGAGATTACAGCAGTTGTTGGAGGAAAAAGAAAAGAAACAAGAAGAACGAGAAAAGAAACAAGAAGAGAGACAACAGCAGTGGCAAGAAAATTTGCAACAGTGGCAGCTTGAACAGCAAATTAAACAAGAGAGATTCCAGCAGTTGTTGGAGGAAAAAGAAAATGAACAAGAAGAGAGACTACAGCAGTGATTGGAGGAGAAAGAAAATGAACAAGAAGAAAGACTACAACAGTGGATGGAGGAGAAAGAAAATAAACAAGAAGAAAATCTCCAACAATTGAGAGAAAGCCAGAGTACACAAATGGATAACATTAGTAAATTTCAAAGCGAATTAAATACATTAAAGGATGATTTATTGTCTTTTACACAAGGAGGATACATTAACCATCGACTTAATCAGCCCCAAACAATGGCAAGCCCATTCCAGGCCCCACAGCTAAACCCTAATGCAGACATTTTCAGTCCTGTTAGAAGTCACATCCCAGACACGCGTGTCAGCAATAGGGGTGATTTAGTATGAAGAAAATCACAGGAATTCAATGGGAAGGCGTCGTGGGAAGCATATAGGACACAATTTGAGCTCCTGGCAGAGATGAATGGATGAACAGAGGAGCAGAAAACAGTGCACCTAGCAAAAAGCCTGAAGGGAAAACCACTGCAAATACTTTAACAGTTGTCAGCAGACGATAGGCACAACTATAGAGCACTGGTAGCGGCTCTAGAACTCTGGTATGGAACCCAAAATCAGTCTGAAGTCTACAGGGCTAGGTTTAGGACGAGAGTTTGTGCTAAAGGGGAGAGCCTGCAAGAGCTGGCACAGGATTTGGAAAGTAAGGCACACAAGGCCTACCTAACTGCGCCATCCGATGTCCTCAAGCTGTTGCTGAGGGATCAATTTGTAGATGCCTTGGACAGTCCACAACTGAAGATACAAGAAAGGCAAGCACACCCCTCTACTATGCAGGATGCAATGGCCAGAGCTCTTGAATTCAAATCCTATGTTTAGTCATCAGGATTCAAGGCCAGAAAAGGGCAGCTTTCAGAGAAGTTTAGGGACTTTGCTGGCATTGTAATAAATCTGGGCACAAGAGAGCTCAATGCTGGCAACTTCAACACAGGGAAGATGCCACAGCAAGAAAAGGCTGCTACGCAGTAAGGTTGTTGGAACTGTGGAGAGCAAGGACATATGAGGAGCCAGTGTAAGAAGAATATTACCAATAAGTCAGCCTCTGGGAAACCAGTAGTGGTTTGTATTGATGGGCACCTACCAACCCCAATTGTGAAAGTCCCAACAGCTAAGTGTAAAATGACAAGCACACATAGTGTCTATGTGACTGGCTTTTTCAGGTGACACGTCTTCAGCAGCATCATTTGTTCTGTTGTTCACTTTGTTCCAACTGCAATGTCCTGGGCTGTGATAATGCTAAAGCCTGTTGGCATGCGCCACCTTTGGCTTACCTC